TTAAGAAAGAAAGAAAGAAAGAAAGAAAGAAGGAAATACTCAAGGAACTATTGAAAGAACATAGGGCAATCAAATGAGTCAAACAAAAGAACAAATGAATGAACAAGTGAAAGAAACATATGAAAAGAAAAAGAAACAAAAGAGAAAAATAAAACAAAAGAACATCTGAAAGACAGAAAAGAAGAAACAAAAGAAAGTAATCAACACATGGGATTTGTCTCAGTCTCAGTTGATGATTCTGCAGGTGGTCTGTGAATTCACACAGATTGACTTCCCCATCTGCAGGTTTCTGCCCTCTTCAACTCTCACTGAATCCCACTCAAGTCTGTGAAACAAAACCGCTCTCTTTTACGCCCTTCATGATAAACACACAAACCACTAGATACAAACTCAGAGGGATTATTTGCACTTCAGCTTCAACTATTCTACAGCTCTACAGTTCCTGCAGAAAGAGAAGCAGAAATGCTCTTCAACCTACTTCAACTTGCAAGTTTTCCTGGCTGCACAAACTCTTAGCCTGACTTTACTCAGTTCCACAGTATTACCCAGATTCACTGGACGTCAGTGAGTTATAAATAACTTAGAGGTTGATAAATAAAGGATCAGTGAGTAAACAGTGGTCCAGATGCGGATATGATTAAAGATTATGAGGCAGGAGCCATTTTCTGTCTGGTTTGGAGTTGTGAAACAACGCTGTTTAGTGTTTGTTTTAACTTGCTTTTCCAGAAAAATCTGCTTGAAATTGATTGCGCTGCTGTGGTATGATCATCGTGCACTGCCAAACCAGGTCTGATATTTCATTCTGGTGTTCGCTGGGCCAGCAAAGTAATTATTCACATTATTATGACAGTAGATTTGTCTGCGTGATAGAGAAACAAACATATTGTGAGCTGTTGGGACTGCAGCAACAGATGGAGCAAATTTGAACCTCACATATTAAAACTTTCAAGAAAAAAGGTTTTAATTAAAATCCAATTTTGCCTTCATGAGGTACATTCTCTCAATCGATTCGTTCAGAAACACTAATTCATAAAACAATGCTGCGTCTCAATGTGCCTACTTATACTACGCCCTTAAAGTATGTACTCTTTTGGTGAAGAAAAAGTACACACTTTTGAGTGTGTAGTAGAAGAGTAGGCAAGCTTTGGGACGTCACACAATTGCGTCTTTAAAGGACCCCTCTGTCACACCTGTTACATGCACCCTGTCATTGTAAACTGGTCAGTCAATCATCTTGTCACAGTTAACATCCTCCACATTCCATTTAGCGACACGACAAATCCCCAACAGTAAACTGCTGACTTGTTCTATTTATAACGTACTGACACAACGTTCAAATGATTTGCAATGCTTTGTCACGTCCAGTGTAGATACGATGTAACAGCAAAAACATGGCGAGTGTGTAGAAAAGAAAAGTGGATACGGAAAACGTACAAGTTTGCTTTAATTTATTTTCAAGATCTGAGGTAAAATATCTATTGTTGCTTTCACTATGGCTATAAAGATAACGCAAAATAATATTCAAACTCACATTAGACACTTTTAACATTGAATAAAGCACATAATCATTACCTGAGATTATCACTGTCATATTTTGCACCTCCCTAAACCGTTCCTAAAATAGAATCCCATGTCGCTTGTTGTCACGTGTCGCTGTCGCGGGTGGTTAGGACAAAAACTAAAAAACTAAAAAAAAATCTAAGCGTAAAAATATTAATACTGACAAATCTAATAATTAAATCTGCAATTAGGGAAAGTGGAGAGAAGAGATCCAGTCTGGGAATGAGCAGGAACAGTTGATTTGCATGGCAGACACGGAGATCCAGATTGTTTGTTTGTTCATTTGTTTTTAATATCAACAGGCAAAGTTCTTATGTATCTAAATGCAAAAATGTTCATAATTGTTTGAATAAAACAGACTACTGGGGAAAAAATCT